CTTGTCCCCTCTACTTATAAATCTTCTCACTATTTTGTCACATAGATGAGTTTGTTCTAGTAACTGTTCATAAGTAGCTCATCTGATTTAGGGTAGTTTAGCTTAAGTTCTCTTTGTTAAGCTGTTACTAGTTAAGTCATTATGCAAAAGGGAAGAGGGGTAAGCTTTGCTTTTTATTACTTATAATATTTCTTTTATCATTCCCTTACTTTCTCTACAGCGCCATCAATGTTTAAATTTCTATCTCCTATACTTTAGATGTCTGGTGAATGTGTTATTTGACTAGCTTGTGTCAGTATGGTGGGAAAGGTGTGGGCTAGGTTTAGTTCTAGACATACATAGATCATGAAATCTAGGTGTAAACTAGGTGCTTTATTTAAGCTATGTCTTGTTTTATCCAAGCACGCTTTCCAGTATGCTCACCTTGTTACGACTTACCTCCTCTCATATAATTGTTCAGCATGTGTTGATGGACAGTGGCTTTGTCATGGCACCTGAGGAGGGTGACGGGCTGTGTGTTCATGCTTCATGGCCTTATTCAGTTAAGCGCTCTACTCTTAATTTACTACTAAATCCTCCTTTAGTTTTTAGGTTTCATAAAAACTTTCGTGTGGATAAAGGGTGTTCTTGGTGTAGAAAATGTAGCCCCTCTCTTCCCACCCCCTAGGTTACACCTTAACCTAACCTTTCTATGTGTTATAATTATGCTTACTTTTGCTCCTTTTTAGGGTTTGCTGAAGATGAGGTGTATAGACTGGAGTAGCGAGGGTTGGTGAGGTTGGTCGGGGTTCATGGATTATAGAACAGGCTCCTCTAGAGGGGCGTGATTTTGAGTTTTAAGCTGTTGCCAGTAGTGCTCTGGCGAATAGTCTAGTTCTTATGACCGTTTGGGTTTAGGGCTAAGCATAGCGGGTTATCTAATCCCAGTTTGGGTCTTAGCTATCGTGTGATCAGAATATATTAATAAAGTCACTTTCGTAGTTTACTTTTGTTTCAATTACGGCTTTTTACAGCTTAATTAAGGTTTAACTTTATCTTGTATGGTTCTTTAACACGCTTTACGCCGTAGTTCTATTAATTCGGGTCAATCATGTGACCGCGGTGGCTGGCACGACATTTACCAGCCTAATTAACATGGCTTAGTCACACTTTCGTTTATGGCTCAGTTTTTATCACTGCTGTCTCCCGTGGGGGCGTGGCTAAGCAAGGCATTGTGAGCTGCTGGTGTGGCGTGCTTGACACCTGCTCCTTTTGTTTTTTTTTTTTTAATTTATTTTTACATCTATATTGGAGTATAATTGCTTTACAATGGTGTGTTAGTTTCTGCTTTATAACAAAGTGAATCAGTTATACATAGACACATGTTCCCATATCTCTTCCCTCTTGCGTCTCCCTCCCTCCCACCCTCCCTATCCCACCCCTCCAGGCGGTCACAAAGCACCGAGCTGATCTCCCTGTGCTATGCGGCTGCTTCCCACTAGCTATCTATCTTACGTTTGGTAGTGTATATATGTCCATGCCTCTCACTCGCTTTGTCACAGCTTACCCTTGCCCCTGCCCATGCCCTCAAGTCCATTCTCTAGTAGGTCTGTGTCTTTATTCCTGTCTTACCCCTAGGTTCTTCATGACATTTTTTTTTTCTTTAATTCCATAGTGATTTAGGGGGCATTCTCACCGGGGTGAGGATACCTGCATGTGTAATTCTATTAAAAACTAATAGAAAAAAAAAAAAAACTAATAGAAAGGCTGGGACCAAACCTTTACGTTCATGGGGCTAGTGGGCCCATGTAGACATTTTTAGTGTCTTGCTTTATGAGATGTTCGAGCAACTTTAACTTGCTGCACGGAGGTGATGCTTGTATGGTTGTATTACGTGGCTTATGTCAGATTTAGTATTAGATTTTTGATAAAATGGTTGGCGAATCTAGGGGAATGTCTGTCTCTATGGGTGGTGAATATCTAAGTAGCTCCTTTGTATGATAGGAAGGGGGGTGAGGTTGATTCACTGGGATATCTAACTGTTCTAAGCCGTGGGGGGAACAGTAAAGCGCTATGTCCTGTAACCATTAACTGATTGGCTCTTGCCAAATAACAAATACATCCAAGTCCAGCTACAGTTTGCTCGACTGTGTTAAGACCTTTTAAAGTCATAGCTGAGTCTAAGCACGTTCCCCCACAAAAATAAAAAATACCAAATGTATGAAGTCACAGTTATGTGTGAGCATGGGCTGATTAGTCATTAACCCATTGAGATGCCTTATTTAATGGGAAAGAGTGGGCGATTTTAGGAGAGATGGCCCTGAAGTAAGAACCAGATGTCTGATAAAGTTCATCAGTGGAAACCCTCACAAGCCGTGGGCCTGGAGCGAGAGGAGGGACACCTGGTTTCACGCGGCCTGGCGATAAAGCTCGTGATCTAATGGACAGGATTCCAAACATGTTGGCTTGGACCAATTTAACTCAATGTGCTATGTACGACCAATAATGTATATGTACTATGTAATATTCATGATATAATGTACATGCTTCTTAGGCATGTGGTAAATAAGGCAACGCACGATTATACATACAATGTACGTGCATATATACATGGGAAAGAGACATTATAGCAGTTATGTGGCGGTAACAGACATGCAAATACGCATAGCATGTATGCAGTAGAATGAATTATTTTTAGTACTGACATAGCACTGTCGTTTTATGAATGTCTTATAATATTTTTTTTTCAGGGAATCGTTTATATAGAATTTCAGCTTTGGGTGCTGGCGGTGAAGTTTAGTGCTTCTTCCAAGTGTCTCGGACAGATATGTTGTTCTCCTTTTCCGGTTTATAAGACCAGGGTATTGTATTATACTACAAAGACTCTTCATTTTAGGAACTTGTTTTCAATGAGACTAGTGACTGGTATTAACACTAGGATTAAAAGAAAGTATAAAATGGATGCAAGGGGCTTCCCTGGTGGCGCAGTGGTTGAGAGTCTGCCTGCGGATGCAGGGGACGCGGGTTCGTGCCCCGGTCCGGGAGGATCCCACATGCCGCGGAGCGGCTGGGCCCGTGAGCCATGGCCACTGAGCCTGCGCGTCCGGAGCCTGTGCTCCGCAACGGGAGAGGCCACAATAGTGAGAGGCCCGCCTACCGCAAAAAACAAAAAAACAAAAAACAAAAAAAATGTCTGCAAGTTGTCCAATAATCATATATGGGTGTTCCACGGGTTGTCCTCCAATCCATGTTAGCGCTAGTAAGTTTGCTACGAGTACTCAAAATAAGAATGGACTGAAGGGTTGGAATGTCAAGCTTCGTTGTTTGGATGTATGGAGAACTGGAATAAATGCCAGGATTAGGATTGAGAGCAGCAGGGCTGAGACTCCTCCTAGCTTGTTGGGGATTGATCGTAAAATTGCATACGCGCATAGAAAACGCCATTCTGGCTTGATATGCGGTGGTGTGCTGAGTGGGTTTGCTGGGGTGTAGTTGTCGGGGTCTCCGAGCAGGTCGGATGAGAATAGAGCTCATATTAGTGAGGCTAAGATTAATAGTGAGGCACCTAGGATATCCTTGACTGTATAGTAAGGGTGGAACGGGATTCTGTCTATATCAGATGGAATTCCTATGGGGTTGTTGGACCCTGTTTCCTGAAGGAATAAAATAGGTGGACGGCAGCTAGTGCTGTGATGATGAAAGGGAGAATGAAGTGGAAGGCGAAGAATCGTGTTGGTGTTTCTTTATCTACAGAAAAGCCACCTCAAATTCATTCGACGAGGGTAGTGCCGATATACGGGATTGCTGAGCGTAGGTTTGTGATGACAGTTGCGCCTCAGAATGATATTTGTCCTCAAGGTAGGATGTAGCCTATGAATGCGGTGGCTAGGACTATAAGTAATAGGATAATTCCAATATTTCATGTTTCCTGAAAGGTATGGGACCCACAGTATAGGCCACGTCCTACGTGGGCATAACGGCAGATAAAAAATATGGAAGCTCCCTTTGCGTGTATGTATCGAACGACTCAGCCATAGTCGATGTCTCGGCAGATGTGTTACTGATGAGAAGGCAGCTGTTGTGTCTGGTGTGTAGTGTGTTGCTAGAAATAGGCCTGTTAGGATTTGTAGGATTAGGCAGAGCCCTCGTAAGGAACCCATATTTCATCATGGTGAGTTATTTGATGGGGTAGGGAGGTCAGTGAATGTATTGTTGAGGATTTTTATCAGTGGGTGGGTTTTTCGGGTGTTGGTCATTGGTGTTCTTGTAGTTGAATGACAACGATGATTTTTCATGTCATTGGTCATGGTTGGAGTCCATGTGAGAATAATGATGACATATATTGTATTCATTTTAAGTATTATTTTTGTGATTAGTTTTGTGAGGGTTTCTTCAAAACCTTCGCCTACACACACAGACACACACACACACACACACACACACACACACACACACACAGGAATATTACCCAGCCATAAAAAGAATAAAATAATGCCATTTGGGGCAGCTTGGATGGACCTAGAAATTATCATACTAAGTGAAGTAAGTCAGAAAGAGAAAGACAAAGACAAATATATGATATCACTTATATGTGGAATCTAAAAAATAGTACAAGTGAACTTACTTACGAAACAGAAACAGACTCACAGACACAGAAAACAAACTTATGGTTATAAAAGGGGAAAGGTGGGGGAGGGATAACTTAGGAGTATGGGATTAGCAGGTGCACACTAGCATACAAAAAATAAACAACAGGGATTTACTGTAGAGCACAGGGGGCTACATGTATAACCGAAACACTTTGCTGTGCACTGGAAACCCACTCAACAGTATAAATCAACTATGCTTCATTAAAAAAACAAACAGGAAAAACAAAACAAAACAAAACAGGGCTTCCCTGGTGGCGCAGTGGTTGAGAGTCCACCTGCCAATGCAGGGGACACGGGTTCGTGCCCCGGTCTGGGAAGATCCCACATGCCATAGAGCGGCTAGGCCTGTGAGCCATGGCCGCTGAGCCTGCGCGTCCCGAGCCTGTGCTCCGCAACGGGAGAGGCCACAACAGTGAGAGGCCCGCTTACCGCAAAACAAACAAACAAAAAGAAATCACTGCCTAATTAAGATAAAGCTGCTAGAATCAAAGGTGAGTTGATACTGGAAAAGTAGGGCTAGAGACCACCAGAGACATCAAACCCTGGGGAGGGGTGAGAGAGGAGCCCCTGCTACTTCTCCTGGAGCCCAACGATCCTAACTCCTGGGCTTTTTCCCATGTTCAACCCTTTCATATTCCTGGCCTCTTGTTGCTAGTTCCCCCTCCCTCTCCCTTTATTCTGCCCCCAGTGTCTTCTTTAGTCCAAAATAAGTGGCTTCTCTCCTCCCCGCACTCTCTAGGCCCCTCTCCTCCCTTTGTCCAGGCTCCATGCTCCTTCCTTCTCTCTCCCCCACCTGCCACCTGCATTTATCCCTCCCCTGCTGTGCTCAGCTACAGAAATGCCAAATTCCTAACACCTAGCTACATCTATGTTATCTCGTCCTCCTTTTCCCTCTAACAAGGTGCCTCCGTGCCTTGGCCCCGCAAGTGTCCCTGGTCCCTGCACAGCTCGGGGAGTGGCGGAGTCCAGCCCTACTGCAGACTCTCATAGATGCCGGTGAGCACCTCCAACTTCTTCTCCAGCTCCCGGGCCTGCTGCCTCAGCCTTTCAGCCGACTCTGTCTTTGCCCCCTCACGCAAGTGCTTCGCCTCTTTCACCAGGAAGGCCACTTCCATCAGAAGGGAGAGACCTGCAGTGCCCGCACCCACAATCCGGGCTCCTTTGGTCATTGCCAGAGCCCTGCCTTTGAAAGTAACCTCTTCCTGCTGGCTGCTTTGGACTGAGATTATTCCACTGCTGATGAAGACGTTTGCATCGGCTGCTAAGCCAGGGTTGCTTTTGACCGTCTCCATGGCACGGATATTCATTTCAATGCGTTGCACAGCTTCTGTGAATTTCTTTGTTGTGCCAACAGTTCGGGGGCTGATCTTAAGTGCCTCCAGGAACGCCAGTTGACATCAGGCGACTAACTCCGGTTTTTGCTGACAACGTGCTGACGTGTTCCACAATGCTGGTGGACACACTGGTCACAGCAGCCGCTGCTCCCAGCCCTAACCCAGTGGCCGAGAGTGCCAGACTCGCCCCCGCTGTCATGGGTGCCAAAGCCAGGCCAAGTATGGTCAGGACACCAGACACAGCGCCAGTGGAGATGGCCGCAATGTTGGAGATGGTGCAGTCCCTGTGGACCTTGTCAACCTTGTCTGCGAACGCGTGGAGCTTTCCTATGAACTCCTCTAGCTCTCATTTTACCAGAGGAAACCTGTTCAAAAACCTCTTCCTGTCCAGCTGGTCTTTTCGGAGCGTGACTTGGTACTCCACGGCCAAGTCTGTTTTTAGCTCACTCAGATATTGATGCAGTGCATCTGGGTCTTCCCTGTAACAATGAAGGTCAAGGGATTAGAAAGACAGTTTGCTTGTCCATAAACTAGGCTCAACAAGATCTATTCTGTAAATCACAGAGATTTTGTTATAAATCAAATAGAAAAGAATTTCACAAATGTAAATTTTTCTCTTTCAACATTAAACACATATTTTTGTATCTTATAGATGCTCCATATACTTATTCAATCATGGAATAAATAAGCAAAAGTCATCTTAGGATACTTTTAACTTAACATAGGTATTTGAGGGAATTCCCTGGAGGTCCAGTGGTTAGGACTTTGTGCTCCCACTGCAGGGGGCACAGGTTCGATCCCTGGTTGGGGAAGTAGGATCCCACAAGCTATGTGGCACGGCCAAAAAAAAAAATGGTATTGGATAAAGACGCCTCAGAGGCAGGTCAACACAATTACTTCCAAAGAGTAGGCAGAGTGGGAACTCCACAGAGAAGCACAGAGAAGTGGGATTGGAGCAGGAAAAACCTTCATTCAGAGAACCTTAGTGTGTAGTGAGGAGTCAACCTGCTCTTTGCCCTTGGCTACTGGGAAGTGGTCCCTGAGCCCCTAGAATATTCTGGCTGATAGGAGTGTCCTCGTCTGCCTGGGCCTTTGGCCACTGGACAGGCTAACAGGGTGACATGTGATGGGGCCTCTGGGTCACGTGGTATCACATCTGACCTCTGGAGGAGCTGGACACTAGGGCATTAGTCTGACCTCCGGGAGGGCAGGAGAAAACCGCTCAGCTGTGCGGGCAGCAAG